ACAGCAACAATGGGAACAGAAAAAATTATTTTATTGCTGCAGAAGAAGTATACTGGGATTATTCAAAATTTGCACAAAGGTTTGGCTAGTTTTCTAGCTTTGTCTGCCTTTGATATTAAAATTTGCTATGTTAACATATGTTTATATTTTTTCATTCATGTATGTATCGGACAAACACGGTTTCCCATGCTCCAGGTAACATGCTAAGCACTGGGAAAATTATAAACAAACTAGGCACAATAGCTGGTCTCACAGGACTTACACCCTAGTGACAGAGTCAGATATTAATAACCTCACAAAGTACACAGGGTGTTCCAAAGGTGGCCATACAGAGGAAAGTTAACAAACTCGTTTTTCATATCTGTGTGTCAACAAATAGAGAAATATTTTATAAAATTTTGTAATGAATATTTCATAAATAAACTTACATTTAGCTACAATTTCCGATTTTTCTTGTGTATGTAGGGTGACTTGAAGACACCCTGTATATAATTTACTATAGGTACTATAGGAATACTATAGGAATTGACTACATCTACTACTATAGAAATATAAGAAATGATATAGAGAAACTTGACCTAGTCAAAAGGATCATAGGAAAACATATGTAAGAAATGATATTTGAGCTGAGAGTTAAAAGATTTACTGGCCTGAGGATTTCTCATATATTCATCTATTTGTTCATTAAGTATTTATTAAAGACCTTCTCTAGATAACTATATTTAAAAAGACAACTTTCTAAATTCTTTGAACAGCCTGTAATTTCTTCTTTTAAACAAATACTATTATCTTTCCAGCGAGATGGATCAGGAAGACACTGACGATATTCCAGAGGGTACCATATACAAGAAAGTGGTTTTTCGAAAGTATCTTGATAGCACTTTCACCAAACGTGATCCTCGGGGGGAGTATGAAGAGCATCTTGGCATTCTTGGTCCTGTTATTAGAGCCGAAGTGGATGACGTTATCCAAGTAAGTCATCTTTAGAACACTGTGAAGATCATCAGAGGAATTTTCACAAGCACTAGGAAGTTGTAAAGAGGAAGGTGGCAAGAGAACTATGCGTAATTTATTTTCCAGGATTGACAAATAATTTTTTCAGAGTCTCCTTACCAAGCAACTTGACAATCTTTAAGACCAAAAAAATGGTCTCGTAATCTTTTTAAATGCCACAAACCGTAGAATCTTGGGCAAACCACACTGCTATTTCTCCCTAAAGCTAACATTCCTGTGTAATGTTAACCCAGAAAAGTCAATACCTTCATCAGGAGCACTTCAACTGAGTTTCACAGCCCAGTTGTGGTGACAGTGGTGAAGGTAGCAATAGCAGTTTAGAAATATCTCCAGGGTTTTTTTTTTTTTTTAAAGAAAGTAAAGTTAAAAAATAAGAATGGGAAGCAAAAATGCACCCATGCCCTCCAAAAGTGAGCAAGTTTCCTAAGTATTCTCCCTGTCCTGGTCACATCTTTGGAAGTCTTGTCTCCAGTTTCAGGCCTGTAGCTAACAGCTAGATTTTGTTGTTGTTGCTGTTGTTAATAGATAGAGTCTCGCTCTGTTGCCCAGGCTAGAATGCAGTGATGTCAGCCTAGCTCACAACCTCAAACTCCTAGGCTCCATTAATATTCCTGCCTCAGCTCTCTAGTAGCTAGACAACAGGCACCCACCACAACACCCAGCTAAATTTTCTATTTTTAGTACAGACGGGGTCTTGCTCTTGATCAAGCTGCTCTTGAACTCCTGAGCTCAAGAAATCCTCCCACATCGGCCTCCCAGAATGCTAGGATTATAGGCATCAGCCACCTGGCCTATACTATAGTTGGCTTTTATAACAAAGTTTATTTCCCCCATCTATTACCCCCCATCCTTTCTAACTTCTCACTTACAAAAACAGGAAAAGACCTTGAATGTAAACTATTCTAGATTCAAAAACATAATATTTAAACATTCAGCCAAATTTTCAGTGACCATTTGTTCTTTTTTAAAAAAGCAAATAGGAGTATAGGGGTACAAGAATCTTAATTATTCTGGCTTGGTGCCCGTAGCTCAGTGATTGGTGCCCGTAGCTCAGCCTGGCCATATACACTGAGGCAGATGGGCTCCAACCCAGCCTAGACCTGCTAAACAACAATGACAAACTGCATCAAAAAACTAGCTGGGCATTGTGGTGGGCACCTGTAGTCCCAGCTACTTGGGAGGCTGAGGCAAGAGAATCGCTTAAGAGTTGGAGGTTGCTGTGAGCTGTGACGCCACAGCATTCTACCGAGGTGACAAAAAAAAAAATCTTAATTATTCTAAATGTTGTGTGGAGATACTGGAGGCAATAATCTTCTGTCTTTTATGATTAGGGAGTCTGCAAACACTGAGTTAAAGAGAAGGATAAGGGGGAGGTTCCTGGACCTGCTTCTCCTCGGCAGGAGACTAGAGCTGGCTAGAGCTGACTTTTATAACCCTTTATTTTCCCCCATCCTTTCTAACATTTAAGGTCCTCTGCCTTCTGGTCCCAACCTGGTCCTTTTCCAGCCTCCCTCTCACCAGGTTTCACAGCCCAGCCACACCCAGATCATTGCTGTCCCTCAAATTCTTCCTTTACTCCCCCCTCCTTCCAGGTATTTTTCTACCATTCTGGGAACCTGAAACGTCTTTCTCCTCTTTCTCCCTCTGCCGAGCTCCTGTTCCTTCCGTAAGGACCAGTCCCATTTCCCACCAGGGAACCTTCCTTACTTCTTCCAACCTCTCCTAAACGTTTTAGGAAACTGCCCTTCCCGTGCATCTCGGCTCACTCATACTCAGCAGCACCTGCTGTCTCCAGATGTGTATCTGGATCTACAAGTGTATGTCTCTCTAAGCTAGTTGCTTGAAAGCTTTTTGAGCAACCACCACACCTCTTTCATCTTCAGATCTCCAGCGCTGATCACAATCATTTCACTGGCAGCCGTGAACCTAGAAACAAACATGGTGTGGTGTTTCTCGAGTAAACTACTTGGGCCCAATCTCGCAGGATGGTTGTGAAAATTAAAATGGTGTGCCCAAGTTACTCTGCAATCGTCAGCAAAGTATATTTCAGCTCTCGTCTCACAACCACCTACTTTGGCCTATAAATGCGGACATGCTGGGGTTTAGATTTTTGTTTAGGTTGAATACATTTGTGGGTCATTCCTTTTTCTAGGTTCGTTTTAAAAATTTAGCATCCAGGCCATATTCTCTTCATGCCCACGGACTTTCCTATGAAAAATCATCAGAGGGAAAGACGTATGAAGATGACTCTCCCGAATGGTTCAAGGAAGATAATGCTGTCCCGCCCAACAGCAGTTACACCTACGTATGGCATGCGACGGGGCGATCGGGGCCAGAAAGCCCTGGCTCTGCCTGTCGAGCTTGGGCCTACTACTCATCTGTGAACCCGGTGGGTGCTTCCCTCGACAGTTTTCATTATTCCCCTAACCTCATAACCTGAGGCCACCAAATGGAAGGGCTGGGTTATTTCCTGTTAAATATCGGTCTTGCTTTTCATGAGGAATGTTTGAGGGCTGTGGTCACCAGTCTGCAGTTACCATAACCAAGGAATCTCCATTCCTTGGAGACAGACAGAGGAGCTCTTCAGATGACAGAGACACAGACGTTTATTCAGTGGAGAAGAAGGAGGATCCCTTAAATCAGGCATCCTCAAACTATAGCCTGTGGGCCACATGCAACCCGCCTAGGACATTTATCTGGCCCACTGGGGGGCGGGGGGGTTGCCACTGCTGCCTGTCCTGCTTAGCAGCCAACTCATCCTGGGGCCCGCAGTCCAGCCCTCCAACGGTCTGAGGGACAGTGAACTGGCCCCCTGTTCAAAAACATTTGAGGACCCCTGCCTTAAATGGTTGGCCCGGGTTAGAGTGCCCACATTTTCAGAAAATGACATTGAGTTTCCATTTTCTTTCTTTATGAAAGACTTGCAAAGTCAAGGCTCTTTCATCTATCATTCCACAATGTATATATCCTTCAAAACAAGCAGCTGTGAATACATACAGTAAAATACATACAATTTTATATGTCAATTTAAGAAAAACTCCTTCGTTCAAGGCATGGTAGAGAAAACAGACCTAAAGTTCTACCTGGTCCTGTAGCGTGTGACCCTAGAAAAATCATTTGACCTCTCTCAGCCTTGGTTTCCAAAGTTGAAAATGAGGTAATGGTACATAGTAAGCCCTTGGTAAATATTTGTTCAATGAAGGAATTTATATTTGGCATGTAAAATAGATGTCAGGATTAAATGAGATACAGGCAAAGTAAGGTGGGGGATGCTCAAGAAGCAGTATCCATGTATATTACCAATGTTATCCTCCTCAGCATGTTAGAGGAAGACAGTGTGAACACAGCAGAATTGAATGATAAATATCCAGGCTCATTAAGCTGTTCCTTTATAATCTCCAAATTCAGAGCTGCTAAGAAAGTTTCCTTTTCTGTAAGATCAGTGCTTGTCAGAGAGCAAGGAAAGTTCTGAGATGGCGCCGATACATGCAACTTGCTCTTACTGCCTTCCAGGAAAAGGATATCCACTCGGGCTTGATAGGTCCCCTGCTGATCTGCCGAAAAGGAACGCTTGATAAGAGCAACATGCCAGTGGACATGAGAGAATTTGTCTTACTTTTCATGGTCTTTGATGAAAAGAAGAGCTGGTACTATGAAAAGGAGCCCAAAAGGCCTTGGAGACTCGCATCCTCAGAAGTAAAAAACTCCCATGAGTTTCATGGTATTTTCCTCTGACTTTGATCTAATCTCTGAATTAAATCACACTGGGTCATGGTGATTCCCGCCCTTAGATCTTCACGAGATTAGACGCAGGATGCTTCTGAGGAAGGAGGGGCTGCAGTGAAAGCCGGCTTGTTAACATCTCAGAGGGCTGACCTAACCTGGCAGGTGACACTGGTGATGGAGGATAGAGAAAGTCTGGACGATAGTGCACAGTGGCTACTGCAGAACAAACCCTCAAACAAAGCCAGTGGGCCGCAGTTGGTAACAGATACGGAAAAGGGATTGCCATCAATCTGCCATCTTAAAAGATAAGCCTGTTCCTTGATCTCTAGAAGAGATATCATATAGATCATTTGTGTAGAAGAAACAATCACGTGTCTTTTCTAAAATAAGGATGGTTGTAACAGGTCTAGGTTTCAGGTGGCTCCAAAGCACATGAGAATAAAATGAGACAGGAAACTGGGTAGCCAGGCAGTGGGAGGACAGTGGCAGGACAGCATTTGGGTGATCACAGTGGGCAAAGCATGCCCACCTGGAAACTCACTCAGCAATCTGGCCTGTAAATTGGCAGCTGAAACAGAAATCAAGATGGGCGGGTAGGAGCTGGTGTGGTCAGCATGTAGACAGGTGTTCCCATACCTGATAGAATTTTAAGGGTGCCCAAATGATCTCAGCAGTTCCCCTTCTAAAAGTTCCCTTGCCTGGTTCCTAAAATTCCACAGCAGTTCTTTTAACTTAAGGAATTAAAATAAACTTCTCTCACTTCAGTCGCAATTAAATGCTTCCTAGCACAGCACCAAGCTTTCTCATTAAAATTTGGTGTTGCATTTTTTAAATGATCAAGTTTAACAGGTAACTATTTGAAAAGCCCACCTATTTCACTAAGGGGAGAGTGGTAGAAGCTGGGAATCCCGGACACCTAAGCTGGGAAGGAGGAGGAGGAGCTATCACATCAGCAAGAGGTTAAAGGTGACACACTTATTATGGTTGGTGGGCACGCCCAAGATAAACTCCAGCTTCCTAATTTTGCCTGGAACTACCTCTGAATGTAGGAGGCCTTAGGTGACAGGCTGCTCATCTGCTTACTCTAACACCTGTAGCTTGTTCTGTCTGCCTGTATTGGTTCCTATTTTTTTGTAGGAAAGGAATATTCAGACCATTAATGAGAAGGCTAAATGGATCAAGCCCAGAGCAGAATGTAAAATCCGGGGCAAAGAGGGATAAACTTCTTGGAAAGGGAGCTCCCCTGCGCCTCTGCTCTCTGCTGCTGGAAGTGACATGAGGACGGTTGCAGCCTCTCCCTGCCCTGACATAGAGGAGGGCTCTTTCTAGGCCTTGGCGGGCCTGGGGCTGCAGAGAAATGAGGAGGATGGGCAGTGAGTAGGGCACCCCATACCTCCTTACCAGCCTCTCTTCTAATGTAAACAGGTTTTTAATTGGTTCTAACTCTGTCTTTTCAGCCATTAACGGGATGATCTACAACCTGCCTGGCCTGAGAATGTATGAGCAGGAGTGGGTGAGGTTCCACCTGCTGAATGTGGGCGGCTCCCAAGACATTCACGTGGTTCACTTTCATGGGCAGACCTTGCTGGAAAACGGCAATCAACAGCACCAGCTCGGGGTGTGGCCCCTTCTGCCTGGTAAATAATGGGCAATGGAAAGAGTCGCTACTAAGAAATACCAACAGAAGGCAATCTCAGCATGTGTGACTCCCCCTTGCTTCCTCCTCCAGGCATCTTCCTCCCAGGGGCTCAGAGCACGGTTTTGTCCCAGAGCCCAAGCAAAGCCACATGCCCAGACCGTGCACAGAGCGTAAAAGCGTCACCTACTGTGTGCACTGCTGGGAGCACCACTCAGGCTGAATGTGTGGCCTGACTTGGTTCTACAGAGATGCCATGTCACATGCAGGTTCTCCCAAGCCACTATGTCACACAGATCAGGTCTGAACAGGTGACACAGTGAATCTCACAGGTCTCAGGCAGCTAAAGCTATCTTTCAGAAGTGAGATTAGAAATGTATCAGGATTTCCAGATTCCTGAGTTCTCCTCCTGGCTCTATCACCCTAATATCTTTGAGCAAGGGACCACTCAAAGATATTAGGGTGATATCCTTGGGTCACCCTCAAGTCATAGGGTGAATGGCAAGGAATCATAATCTTGGACTCATAAGGCTATAGAGGAAAAAACAAGTTTTTAAAGTGAGAGAAAAACCTTTTTGTAAAAGCTAAAGAACAAAGGTATTTAGAGCTTTTCCTGGGCAAAATGATGATAAATGTAGATTTACACAAATTGCAATCATCTGTAAAGTTGTTTATGTGCCAGAGAGTTGTTTGTAGATGTATCTGCTTGTGTAATGGTGTGGGAGTGGCAGATGCCAGATTCACAAGCTTTGGTGCGTGTCACAAAAACCGAGGATGCAGGTGCCAATGCAGACACAAAAGCAGAGATTCTGTCCTTGGAGACTTTAGTGTAGATCTTGGGCAGAATTTCCAGGAGTCTGCGTCTTTCATGGGTGGCTTCCCTTCCACCAGTGCTGACTGAGCACCTAGCAAGGGCTGTCCCGGTAGCCACTGCAGTCCAAATGGGGCTGGTTTGGTGTAGAGAAAAGAAGAGGGTTGTTAATTTTCACGTGCAGGTGACTCACTAGTACATCTAGAGAGACTTGGTCTGTTCAGATCGGAGACAGGGAAGATTAGGGAAGCCTCACTGCTTATCTTTTCACCAAGCATTAGCAGACCAGCCATCCTTCCCATGAACCTGCAGGATGAACTGAGAGGCTGGGACCATCTGCCCATCTAAATCTCCAAACCCAAGTATCTGCATTGGAGGGAGGAAAACTAGAGATCTTAGCTCAGTGTGGTGAAGGAGATGACCGTCGTCTATTAATTTTCACCCACAATCTGGGAAACAGTTACAAATTATAGTTAAGAGAATTTAGGTATTGACTGGCAGGGCATAACATTAAATACCAGAATGGATAATTAGGTTTCAGAAATCTCATTTTTTCAGTGATTTTTTAAAAATACATGCAAATATATAAGCTTTATAGAAAATCCAAAAACAGAGGAAGAATGTCTCATCTTCATTTTCTCATTTAAAAAGAGGAACAAAACAAAATGAAGCTAGAGAAAGGAAACACAATGTTTTTGAAGCCCAGTGATGAATCATTCAAGGTCACTTTGATATTTAGGACTGTGAAGCTGTATTATGTATGATTTAACTCATATTTAGATAAGTGAAAGTTCCTTTCTCATGATGGGGGTGGGGATGTTTTTACATCCTAAGGCGACTGATTTTTAGTCAGTGTGTATATTGCTGTTGTTTTTTTTTTATCTGTTCTACATGTAGTCTTATCTAAAGAAGGATAGCTCTTAAATTCTATCCCAAAGTCTCTTGGGAAGCAGGGATTTTAAGATTCTTGGAGAGCTATCAACCGCAATGCTAACTTGTTAATCTTCAGGTGTATAAGCGTCTTAACTCTATTTCAGGTGCATTCAAAACTCTTGAAATGAAAGCATCAAAACCTGGCTGGTGGCTCCTAAATACCGAGGTTGGAGAAAATCAGAGAGCAGGGATGCAAACGCCATTTCTTGTCATAGACAAAGGTATCACTTGAGAGTCATGCAATTTTTTTTTAAGCAGGAGAGTGTCTAATACTAGAATACTACTTTTTTAACTTTTTATTAAATTATATCTGTGTGCATTAATGCATTTATGGGGTAAAATGTGCTGAGTGGATTCCACAATGTGGAATGCGTACATCAAACTGGTTAACGTAACCATCACCTCACTTATTTGTTGTGGCAAGACATTTATATTCTACTCTTAATATTTTAACATGTACCATTGCAGACAGCAGATATTCAACTCTTGCGAACTCTGATGTGATAAAGGCATAATTTGCAGCCAGAGTCTCTTTTATTCTGGCCTCTGGT